TGTTTGTGACATAAGCTCAGGAATGGGGGACAAAATCTCCGAGAATTCGAGGTATTTAATATCAAATGATGTCATAAGGAAGTATATGCATTTCCTGATTTAAGAAGAAATAAGGTTTCACTTTTTAATGTAATGGGCTTTGATAAGCATACATATGCATTGTAACATATGAAAAGATAAAAAGAAATTCACTGTTGTTTTAGAGTAATGGACTATACTTTATATTTCATGGGACAAATTTTACTTTTAAGTCATCCATGCCAAAATCTCATAAAATCAATGAAGAAAATACAATAAAAAGTGACATAACACAGGACTAAAACGCTATACATAAACTTTTTATATTTTTTGAAAATTTAGCATCAACAATTTTATTTCCAAATGAGAGCGATGTTTAACTGTGACAGTGCTGTGCGAGTTTGCAGACCCTTACTAGGGTAAAGTCAGTACTCGTGAATTACTACAGAAAGTACGTAGTAATATGAAGGGGAAGGATTCATGGAATTGCTTACGTACTTTCCCTGGGGAAGAAATACAAGGGCAGTCGGTTAACTCTCTTGTACTTCAGGTCCTTTGTCTTAATTTAACTTCAAACACGGGGTAGTGGTACAATAGCCCTCGTTACTGGTGCTACGTACTTGTGACTAAAGTACCGAAACAATAGTTGCGGAAGGCCTATATATATACTCTACCTCGCAAGTCCTATATCACCATAGCAACCTGAAGCCTCCCAAACTTAGTTTTTAACTGCTTTAATGCTTTCAAACTAATAATATGCTTTTAAGGCCAAATTCTCAAGGCCAACAAAATTAACTGAAGATTGTTTTTTCTTTTTCATTTTCCCCCCGTTTCTTCCAGGAATACCTGTCAAAAGACAGTTTTATCAATATCACAAATTGATTTAAGGGATATCATCTCAAAATAAAAACTATGCAAATTGTAAATGATGTCACGTTTGTAATTTTACATAATATGTTTCAAATGTTTCACAGTTGTTTACATAGCATCTCCAAAAAATATTCAGGGGAAAAAAATTGTTGACATCTATTTGATTGACCTTGCATATTTCTCCGCTGGTATGAGCCAAGATAAAAATGAAAGCTTTTCAAGCACTTGTTTTCGTAACATTCCTTTTAAACTGTCTATACAAATAACCATGACTCCTATTTCATCCCCCCATTTTCCACCTGGAAATTAAAGGCAGATGACTGGCCGGGACTTTAGTGTCGTGAAGACATCCTCCAGGTACCCTGGTGTCCGAGGCTGTACACCCTGAGTAGGGAAACAGTTGTAGTCGAAACACTTCACCCATATTCCAAACTAACGGCTCCTGACGGGTGTGAGATTGTCAGAGGTGGAATGAAACAGGCAGAACACAAAGTCTGGGAACTGTTAGGGAATGTTTAAGATTCAGGAAATGCTGAAACAATTTGGGCCTGACAGAGGCTATTGTTTGACTAATAGAGCAGAAACAGGGGAATTACCATTCTAACAGGAACCATGTGGACAGCTCTCAGCAGTGTCGGAGGCCCTGTCCTCGCTCTATAGCCCCTCCATTGTGTAGGAGAGCTCTGATCCCTGTACACAATGTAAGTGTTTTAAGTGAAATAATTAACTTTTCTATAGCAGGGCCTCTTTCAAGTTGTATTGTGGAGTCATTAAGCGGGGTGTTTGGGCTGGGGAAGCTGAGGAATGCCAGACCCCTGACCCTCATTACACTCCAGTCATGGTTGACTGCTAATGGTGTTTCTCTTGAGAACCTATCCCTGTCAATTCTACTTCAGCAGGGGACCGATCTGTCCCCTTCTCTCTGCTCCTTTCTTACCCCAGAATCCCATCCTTTTTCTCATTCTACTATCCCCATGGATTACAATTAAAATCTTGATCCATCCAATTTCACAACTTGTTTTCATCTTTGATTAGTTTTCATCATTGATCATTGCCACCTTCCTTCCATCAGTTATAAATACCCCACAATCCAATACCGATTTCTAATATAACTATCCCACTAGATTACTTAATAACTATCCAACTAGATTACTTAATGACTATCCCAATAGATTACTTAATCACTATCCCACTAGATTACTTAATAACTATCCCACTAGATTACTTAATCACTATCCCACTAGATTACTTAATCACTATCCCACTATCCTCCATGGATTCCAATTAAAATCTGGATCCATCCAATTTCAACCTGTTTCCATCCCAGATTAGTTTTCATCATTAGCACCTGAATTTCTTCCATTTGTTATAAATACCCCACAATCCCATCCCCATTACTTATATAACTATCCCACTAGACTTGTATAACTATCCCACTTTCCTCACGAATTCCAACTATCCCTTTTATGGACCTATCCATGTTAACTCCTTTCCATCCCAGATTAGTTTTTTGTCTTTGATCAGTGCCCTTCTCCTTTCATAAGTCATAAACTTTACCCCCTCCTTATCCTTTAACCTCTTCTCTCACTTATCCTTTATCTCCTCCATACCAAAGACACTTAACACCCCCTCCCTAACATCACAAACACCCCCTCCCTAAAGTCACAAACACCCCCTCCCTAATATCACTGGCTCCCTCTAATATGTAGCTCTTAGCTTAAAGGTCCCTGTCCCACTTCCCTGTTTTTTTTCTCTCTTTATATTTTGGATATATAACTGTAGCACATTAGGGACATCTTCTTTTGAACCGATCGCTCACTTAGTATATATAACAACCTGAAAGCAAAGGTTCAGGTTCCAGTCTATAGGCTTGCTGAATTTTTATACTCAGAACAATATTGTTGATTCTTTTTGCTTATTTTTATCTTTATTAGTTCTTCTTAAAAGTCCCACAAAGAATGGTTTCTTTTTTGGAAATGATTTTTCAAAGCTATGGTCATGACAGAGAAAACAGTTTCCAATGTGCAGTTACCGTTTTCGGCAGTGGTACGGGGATCCTTAACGGTCAACTTATTGTTCCCAGCCCAGTTTACCAACCTCGGTTACAGATGCTGACAACAGACCCCAACTCTTTGTTTTACTTTCCAGACTCACTCAGCAGGACGTGTTCCTAAAGTATCTGTAATTAAACCTGACCCGGTTTTTTGTTTTTAAGATTTCTGTCCCAGCTGGACACAGTGAGCTCCCGGAGACTTTGTCAACAAAGGGTGGTACAGTGATATTATCCTTATCACCCAATTTCTGTTTTATCAGAGCCCCTACGGGACCACAGGGGCTACCAAACCCCATTGGAAAACACATTGAGGTTCCCACTTCAAAGTCAGCCAGTAAGTCCCCCATCACACTTATAATGGCATTTTCTGTGTTTGGACTTAGGTCCCAAATTGTGTGATTATTTCTCCAAAGAGTGGCGGTCTTTGTAGTGAGGGTAATTATAAGGGTTTATGGGGCAGGGCTGGGGCTGTAGGGGGTCCTGACTTCTGAGGGACTTTGGCCATCTCAGCCCAGATCCACACCTTGGCTACTACAGGAATCAGTAACCTCTCAAGCCAATCCAGTAAATTATAATGATAGGTCCATTACAAGTGTAACATAACAACTAGATTTGTTTGTAGTTTTATAATGCTAGACATCAAGATTGGTAATATGACAAGTTTTGTATATAAAAATGATGGGTTTTAAAAAAAAAATCAAAAAATCTGTACCACTTACTCTACCCTCCTAAGCAAAGATTTTTTTAAAGAACGACCTCCATCAATCCTACAACAGTCTTCGATAGTTGAAGTAGTCTTAGATAAGGTCATGGAATGTTTAATAGAACCCCCCTCCCCCCTCTCTCTCTCTCTCTCTCTCTCACCCAACCACATTATTATCGTCCCTTGCAGTGTAAAAGTTCCTAAACAACTTCATGGAACAAGAATAATTTTCAAACTCAATTAACTTGACCTTTTTTGATATAGAAATTTTCACAAACACTGTCTTTACAGAATACTGGAATGTATAATACATATATACTTTAACCCTTGCCGCCTAGAGACTGCTCACAAACCCATTTGTAAAACCACTTTCAAATGTACTACATTTTATTGTTCAGAGCAAATTGAACTTGTCATGAAAGTCTAGGTTTTGTAGATAAAATGTGTCCTGCCAAACAATGCAATATACGGACATACATTTAAACATAAAACACGCCTGTATGACAATCGAACAGTGTAGCAAACGGTCATGTTAAGGAACATTTTTAATGCATTTCTCTACTCAACCAAGAAGTTTGTGTTTTCCTACGCACAAAAAAATACCCAGGCCCACGCTTTGATGTATAAATTCATTAAAAATACCAATCTTCATTTAACCACTATGACTGAACCCCTAACAGGAGGCCCAGCGGGAGCTCTTTCGTCCAGGGACATTCTGACTATATATACTCCCGTATTCCGTGCCCATTCTGTACTTTCAGTTTCTGCGATTTACTGTAAAACACACCCTCCCTTAATTCTCCAGTTAAGTCTCCTCCCTCTGGCCCGTGAACCTATTCATTTCTGGTCTATCGTGATATTGGTGTCCTACTACCCGGTAGACAAATGTGTTTCGTCTCGGCTGTATTGTATGTTGCACCTTGCAGTGAAATGAGAAACAAGTCAGCGCATCTTGTAGTGAAATGAGGAACAGATTATCACATCTGAGTAATGAGTTTTGTATGTTAGTGGATTATGTATACGTCCCGGGTCATGTGGGCTAAAACCACGATGTCATATTCTGTGTGAAGACACAGGCTTATCTGTGCTGAGAAACAGAATATCACACATGTAGAGACACATGTGCTGAGAAACAGTCATCATGAACGAAGAAACAGATCATCACATTCTTGATGAGAAAAACTTGTTCACATCTTATAGTATAATAGGAAATAGGCAATCCTTAATTTGCTACTTTCAGGGACTTGCCCCTATTATCTCCCTGACCTCAAATTACAGGGTATACTGCCAGATATGCCCCCATTCCACAGAACTCAGCAGCATTTCTATATATATTTTGTGCTCAAGTTGCCTTACCTGTTGTTTTGGATTCTGGTGTTTCAGCCACTTGATCAGTCTAAAAGAGATAATTAGATGCAAATTAAACAAATATTAACAAATTAATTATATTAAAGTTCATTTGTAATGTTAAAACTCTGATGTCATTATTTTTTATATAAAAAAAATCTTTCAAATAATATTTCAGTTACTATGAACACAATTATACTCACACAGACAAATGTTATAATTGTAAAGTGTTCATTAAATCTGCTGCATGTCTTAATTTGAATATTGACAAAAAGAATTGTGTAATATTTTAATTAACCCTTATTACTTATTTACAAATATTCTCTACAGTTGGGTGTTGTATAATGGCCCCTCATATACAATTCTATTTGAGTTAATTGCAGAATATATCTGTAAAACTTTGTCCCCAATAAAGATGGGGGCGGGGGCGCTGTCCACCAGCCCTGTTTATGTTTCTATAACAGCTTAGAACACAAGCTATATCTGACCGCTGACAGTGACACACACACCTTAACTAAAACACCAGATTAGATTAACTGTGTGACTTTATTTGCCTGAAACTTGTCCAGATTTACTGGCCATTAAGACCATACACTGTCATCTTGTTCCCATTTAAAAAGACAATAAAGCCAGCAGTTTAGCTGGTGATTGCATTTTCTAACAGTTTGTGCTGGGCTTATTGACTACGGGCTAACCCACACCAAATTGTTGGCAATAAGGCGGTGATGGTGGATGGTTTGTGAGGTTTTGTGAGACAATTACGTCCAATTCATCTCATTAGGGTTACATTTACCCACCCATTGTTAGTTCGGAGTGATCGCTGGCTCGCAGAATCACATTTGAAATAAAAACGCGAAATAGGAAATGGATAAAAGAGCACTTTCTTTTTCTAAGTATCTAACTGCTTTTAGTATGCCTTGGATGACAATGGTGGCGGAGGAAAAACCACTTTGCTACAAAAACCGCTCCAATCGCCATTTGTATTTAGGAAGAAATGTCAAGCTTTATCCGTATATATTGTCGACCATGCATTTGGAGTAGGTTTTATTGGAGTAGGGTACGTAATTTGATGTGAATGTTATAGGGGACACAAATTACTGCCTATGATTGTGATAGGAGAGATAGAGGCGGTCTCCTCTGTTAAAAGGATACCAGAATTTTAGTAGACCTATCATGCTAAATACTGACAGATTTCAAATAATGCTTGCCAAGTTGCTGTTGCTTCCATGTAGGCCTCAGACTTACTTCAACACATAGGTCCCCCTTTTTTTTCTCTTTATCTCTCATCTTTCAAGACCAGTGAGGTAGGAAGTCAAGCAAGAAGTACAATAAGTAATTCATGACAGACAAATTAAATTCTATTATTCATTTATCTAAATCAACAAGAAATTGTTCTTTTCAACATTCTTCAATTGAAGAACGCTTCCGCTTCTTTTCATGAAATAATTCAATTTTGGCAAATGTAACTGTATCTAGTGCCCTGGTTTAACCCCTCCCCTTGTCAAGTTTCTCCATTCCTTTCAATGTACAGAATATTACGTCATAAAATCTCGCTATAGGCACTTCTGTTCTCTTTGATAGTCAAATCATATTTCATGTTGTTTTTGTTTTTCATCCAAAAAAACGAGTTTTAAGTGATAAAATCTTATTGGACAAAAGTGACTTTTGCACTAAAGCCAGTGATAACAATAAATTCTTCAGCATTCTGTCGGCACCACAAAGGAAACCCATTTTCCCTCTAAATGAAAACAAAACTGCTAGTTAAGGCTAACACAAGAAGGCATTCATCAACTATGCTTTCTTCTCGGAAAGTTCGACTGTAGTGCAGTATGCAAAATAGCATCAGCCATCTGCTTTGATGGAGCAGGATTTTATATATATATTTACTTACACAGTAAATGGAGGCATTATCCAATTGCAGGAACATTTATCGCTGTTTGTCAGTAGGTAGCAGTAAACCCGAGGGGTGTGAATTTGTCGAAGGTACTCGCCCCACGACTGAGGTACACAACATTTTGCTTGACTCTCAATAGATCACTGTTCAACATCCGTCTACCCATTACACTGAGCTACAATTCTTTATCTAAACAACTGTCTTGTTAAAAGATAGCCAGATAGCTTTAATTTGCTTTGTTTTTGCACTCCGCGTATTTCTGAGTCATCTCCTTGGCTCATCTTATTGTCAGCGGTTTTACTTACCAAGTTCCCTCGATAAAACTTTTCCGATGCCACTACAACCAATGTTTTTAACAGTAGTCTTTATCGCTGGTCTGTAAGCATCTTACTAGTTGTCAAAACTTCTTCTAATTACTGCCTTTCTCCGTAACAACCATTCACAAATATCATTACTGACATTTTCAGACAATTTCTCCATCAATTTAACAATTTTACACCTATTTCTACTCCATAATTGCAGTAATTAAAACACAGAGATGATTTCACGGACATTTCGCATGGAAGCTACTTTATCCCATTGGCAAGAATTACCGTTATGAATGAGACAACGGGAGGTTGGCACAGTTCCTACCAGAAATACATTGACCTCTGACCTAGCAACACCAAAACATTGATGCGAGACTGGCTGCTTGCCAGTGCAGCTGTATTTTGTAATTCATTTCAATAAACTGTGGCATGAACTTGAGGCATAATTGAGACAATTTACTCACTGCCATTTGGCTTCTATCAAGGTGTAGGTGAAAAATAGTAGAAAGGGTATCGCATTATCATAGTGTGTATCTAAAGGCCTTGAAGCAGTGGGTCCCCTATGTCTATAAATATCCTGCAAGCCTAATAATGTTTATTGTGTCTTTGACTTCCATCGACTGTTATGAAATGGACGAGATATTTTCTTACCCAAAAGACACCAAGACATTTTTTTTCAATACGTATCAAATCGTTGCAACACGGAAGTAATTCAGATTGAATTGGAAACAATATAGGAGGCAGTCTGATTCTGAGAATGTATCACTGCTTCTAATAATTTATCAGAAAACGTTTAAAAAACCCCACCAAACTATGAATAGTTTCAATACATCGGTTTAGCCATTTTAGAAAATCAACAGGATGTTTGGAACAATACCTGTACCGTTTAAGTTTCATTTTTATAAAGTTGAAATTCAAGTTAAAAAATCTACTTTCACTTTACATATAGTTATCACTTACCCCTTTGTTCTGTTTGCTGATGTCTTCCTTTAGATCCTGCAGTTGAGCAATCATGTCACTGAGTCTGCGCTCCTTGTCCGTCAGGCTACCGTCGCTGAGTAGCATCTGAATGCTCTCTTTCACACGCACATCAGAATTGCCTGGTTTGTCAGCCATATTGTTATTCTCAAGCTCACTGTCGGACTTTGAGCTCAATCGTCGGAGTACACTGTCCATTGACTTTTTCTGCAGTCCAAAATTGGACTTTGTTGTGATATGGTTATTATTATTGTTGAAATGTGTTGAGAAACTAAGCTCGTTGTCCGAGTCAGACCCTTGTCGCACTCTTTGGAGAATTCGTTGTTTTTTGCTCGGAGGTCTGTCCAAGCCGCAGCTGTCCGAGTCCTGAGATTCGCTGTCCGATTTCGTGACAATGTGTAAATGGGAGGGGTCTAATTCTCCGTCACTGTCTTGGTTACTGTCGCACTCACTGATTGGTCGCTCGCTTACGACGTCGTCTTTTGGCAGCTTTGTTGGGGTATTCTTTCGTTTTGAAGACATGCTCCTGCAAAATATGACAACACATGTTGAATTAAAAAAATATGAAGTTACTTTTTTTTTTTTCACAAGTAATAAAAATAGAGCAAAGAAGTTTTAAGGTTGATTTATCGTTATACCAGGTACTTTCTTTTCCAAAAAAACCCAGCGGACTCCGAAGTCAAAATCTGATAAAATATTGCTGAAAAAATCGGAGAATTTTAACCACTGGTTATCAACATACACAGACAGGCAAACTCATCATGGGCCATTGGAAACACTGAAGTGATATTGAGATATACAAGACGGATGCATACAGACAGTCGTATAAGCAAAACTTTTATCTGGAAAATAAAGAAACAATGCTTTTGTGAAAAATGATGTAACCCAAGTCACATGTGTAAAAATTGCATAAACTGTAGGTGTATTAATCTGGTTTTCTGAAGAGCGAGTACAGGGAACCTCGGGCAGACACGGTCGCCTTCACAGAGCTGGTATTGTTGTATACAGGGCGCCTGCAATGTCTGATAGCTGACCCAAGAAAGTGAAAAGTATACACATTTTTTGTTGCTTTTCAACATCTGACTGATGTGCCGAAGCATTGCGAAACAAACATGTTTTCAGGAAGTCAAGGGGTACCCTCACCATTAATCTCCGCTCCAAGGAGACAAACCGGAGGTCTATTTAAACATGTACCCCCAAACAACGCAACTAGTCGAACCTTGCTATTTCAGAGGCAGAAAAAAAACATGAAAAAAAATGTAGAAAAGTATTTCAGATATATACAAGTTCAAATAAACAGATTTTAACCGTCATATGGGACCAAAACAGATCTTGAGTTAAACAAGGTTTTCAAACTAGCATCCTGTCTGAATCCATAGAAAACCATCCTGCTGAACAAAATAATTCTAACTACACTCAACTTAGAACCAATATTATCATGTAAAATCCACCTTTGATGATCAAAAGTTAACTTTGGTTTGACTTTTCTTATGATCATCAGAAAATGTCACCATTTTCACACTGAATTTAAATTGATGAATGTTTCATGCATTAACAGAAATTTTATTCACCACAAAATCTGCACCAAATCAATTTCAAGTCCACTCTGTAAAGATTGAAGCAGAATCACATTTTTAGTATTTGTAAAAAAATGTTGCTTCTGTCAACCAAACAACCATCAATACTATCATTTTGACTTTAAAATATGTTGCCTGTTTAATTCCATCCATATCAACCAGAATTTTTAAATTCAACATGTACTGATTTCACCATACATAGTTAAGAATATAAGCCTACAGGTTTACCACCAAGAGATTTGAAAAGCTTCTGTTTTTTTTAGTTTAGATACGGATACCATGATGAAGACTCAGAGCACTGTAGGTCTAATTGCTTCTGAAATTTAGCGATTGCAAAGGGATGAGGAATTGGTTGATCACTGGTTCCTAATACACCACAAAAGCCATTTTTGTTCTAATATTGCCGTGAGTCTAGGTAAAATAATTCCATAAAGCATCTGAACTATCAAATAATTGCAGTTTTAATATTGCTGAGAATTGGCGTAAAATAGTTCAAGGAAGTATCTTAATTGTTTAATATATTTATTTAACTACTTTTAGCACCAAATCTATCTTTATAAAACCAATTAAAAGAATCATTATGAACACCATTAAAACAGTTTATCCTTCTGAATACATTTAATAAAACACTGTTAAAACAATGCATCATTCTAAAAGTATTTATATAAAACACCATTAAAACAATGCACCCTTTTAAATGTATTTATAAAAAGCACCAATAAAATAATGCATCATTCTAAAAGTATTTATATGAAACACCATTAAAACAATGTACCATTTAAAATATGTTTATATAAAACACCATTAATACAATGCATCCTGTTAAAATGTTTTAAGTTAATAGTAATAAAGTTAAAGATAATCCTGAAATAATGTTTTATATTTAATTTTATTATTAAACTCATTTTTTTATTTCTGAAACATTCTATTATTAAAAAAAAAATCATTTTTGATGCCAACAATTACCTGATACCGTTAAATTCCCCCTGATAGTATTTCCAGCATTAAAGAAATAATGTGTTTAATTACAGAATTTAATGAATTCTGTGGTTTTAATTGTACATAGTTTAGTAGCATGAAGTTGTTTTTGCCTACCTTTGATTATATACCTAGATCACACTAACTGTTCCAAACAGGGGATGATATCTAGTCCAGGGGTTGTTCTCAGGTGTATTAGACAAGATGGAATAAAATTAAGGAAGGAAAGTCATCCTATTTTATATATACGGGTGGGGAATGAACCTTGCTAAGTTCCATGATCACTTCCTACTAGGACGAAGTCTAGCCCCGGGCCACAAACAAATACATAATTGTCACTGATCTGTCACAACATGTATGGATATTCTCTTAACGGAGAATAATCCTGACAAATAATAGGTGGTGTTGTAGCTGCCGTGTACAATCTGTTCTGCCTGGAAGGAGTTGACCGATCTCAGGTAGGAAGAGCGCCACCTGATTGATGGATCAGTGCAATCAGTTTTGTATGATTGATGGGAAGACAATACAGGTACATGTACCTGGTCTACCTGTATGTCTCACCTGTGTTACCTGGCCTGTAACACCTAGCACTGTCAATGTCATTCTATGACTTAGATGCATCAGATGGCACAGATTTGTAATCCATGACTATTTTTATTTTGATATTGTTAACTCTTGCAAAATTGAACAAACAGAATAAGCATTTGTGATTTCTTCCCATATTGCCTAACTGTTGTTGTGATAATGCCTAACTGTTGCCTAAGTGTTATGATAATGCCTAACTATTGTAATAAGGGAAGTGGATGTTCATAGAAGTGATGACATCATCGTATATTGATGGACATAGACCCGGATGTAAATAAAAAAAGTGTATTCCAACACAAAATTGGAAATTTGAGAGAAATAACTGACAAATAATTAAGGTGACCAGAAATGAATGAAATGTCTTGGGACTTCTTACAAGTAAAATTATCAAACTTTGTAAAACATGAGAAATTCAATAAGAGTGTTTGAATTATCTTTTACTGCAACACACACACAGAATATTGCTAATTCCTACAGCTCTTTTATATTAGAAAATAACAATTATGTTCCATTAATATATAGACGGCAAATTTCCATATTCACTCGAAATGTCAAAAATTACTTCGGTCAAAATAAAGACAGAAATCTGAGGTAGAAGATCAAGTTTCTGGAGGAAAAACAAAACAGACTGGGAACCTTAATTGCAAAGTATGAATGAGTGGGAGAAATACAAACACAAACAAGACCCGAATTTTCTCAGGATCTGCATCACTTAGAAGCACTTGACAAAGTCCTTCACATTTGTAGCATGCACCAGATAAAATCTAGTATAGTGGGTGATTAATACACTGAAGTGAATTGTTTTAGCTGAATTGTGTACAACAATGTCACACAGGAAGGTGATTCACAACCAAATACATTAATACGAGTTCTTCTATAAGCTATTTAATACTTCGTAATGAACAATTTGTCAATTCATTGTTCCGACTGTCGTACCAGCTAGTGTCTCGTATCAAACTGTACGAGCGTGACGCACATATTACAGCATCTTATGATCAACAAACATTGCCTTTCTTTGTATTTCCGGCTTGAATGTTAACACTTTAAACAACAGGGAAATATTCTATAAAAACAATGGTTCGTCATTTAAGTCAATTGATTTTAAGTGGAGTGCAAATGTGGAAAAGTATTTATCATTGAAGTGAAAATTTCGCGAAATTCATACGACAAATGCTGACTGTGTTTTCAGAAAATACTTTGTATCCTGTCAAATCTTCCTGTTCAATACCGATACTGACAACTGACTTTTGGTCTCATTATTGTCTATATATTATTTCCGCAGCCGTCTCCATTGTTTCTTTTAAAACTTTAAATTCATTTTCTGTATGTCTGTTGTAGCTATGATTTATTATTTAATTTCTCTTCAACAGCAGGAACATACATCAACCATCCCACAATGATAGAACACAACACGACTATGAATTTTGGGTGTTATTATAGAAAATGAAATTATTTTAATAAGCTTACAGCTTGCACAAAATTGATAATATTCCCAATATGAATTATGAAATGTGTTTTTCAAAAACAAAAACAAAAGAAAAAGTTTCAGAAAAAATCTCATTTAACTATTACTGTTAGTATGACAAAATACAATGAATAAAACTCTTTTTTTTTTAAGTTTGTTTTTTCGCAATGCACATAAGGACATGAAAATCTCAGGAGAGTGTTGTTGCGCCTGGGATTATATTTATATGATGCGAGACACAAGATATGTCGCCAGACACAGGTAAGGGTGATACGTCAATAGGATCACACGTCTGTCACCTACCTGTCAGGTAACACCGCTATACTAGGTTTCAGGTACAGTAACATACCAGTACCCCGAATGTGTACTGATTTAGTCATTGCCTACAGTACTACTCATGCATTCCAATCAACTTAGATTTTCTATCATAATGTCATAGATCTCCCATACCAACATAATTCATTTTTTCATCCTAAAAGTGTTTTTTCGTATATAGGGACCCCATTGAAAATAAGCCCTCTTTGGTTTTGAAGGATTATCCCAGTTCTGGGCTAACATATGAAAACTGATATAAAGTTTTCAAACTACCTCATATTTTTTATCAGATGTTTTGTTTCTGCATGCCTTTTACCTGAATATAATAAAATCAAAATTAAAAAGGTCCTAAATGAAGTTCCAAAGTAAGACGTTACAATCTTCTCGTTCCTACCTGATTCCATCGTGTACCCATCCATTACGAAAACTTTAAGGAATTGAAACTGATCCTCTGCAATATAGCATCCCTTTAAAATTTCGTCACATTTAAATGTCTCTTCTCTCCTTTTTAACGAACTATCAAACACCATGATTCGAAACATCCGAGTCGCAGCTCACATATTGTCAACTTTTTAAATGTCCGACACAGCAATCCTACCATCAATT